AGAATAACCATTGTTTAAAAGTGAAATTAGTAGTATTAGAAGCGGAAAAATGAAATACTGCTGATAAAGTAACTGACTTACTTGGTTTTTGGTTTCTTTCTGTGGTTGAAGTATTGAGGGTTTTAAGAGATCCGATATTTATTTTTCTTGATATTCGTGGGGAATAAGGACTGAGAAGTAAATATACCCTAAGCTGATGTGGGAGGAAGGAAAATTAAAAAGCCCATCTCTTAAGCAGTCTACAAAATGAAATTTCTGGTTGTTTTGCCCCCTTCTTACAACCAGTAGCTTTCTCGGTAGAAGCTTTCACAGAAGACTGGGGAAGTAGCCCACAGACAGAACCTGAGATCTGGCTCTGTGTTGTAGGCGCGTGCTCTTGGATAACATTTCTAGACTGTACACTCGGGATAATGATTCCCACTCCCCAGAATAGTTTAGAGATGAACTGACTCTACATAGGAGAGGCTCTGTAAATGGTAGGCAATTGTCTTCGTATTAGCACTGGTGATAATTATCATTAATATCAGCTAGTCCATTGAGCATTCAATGTAGAGGGTACTTTGTTAGGTGACATTGGGGGATACAAGGGAAATGTATAAAATTCATTTCCTAGGATTCAGTAGCTTTGCACCTAAGTTAGGGCCATAAGTCTCAGGTGAAAAGATAACGGACAGAAGAACATGATATGTGGATAATGGATGATTGGAAAGATGAAATGGTCATTATCTTGTAGGATGCTCTAGAAGATTTTCCTCTGGAAGCTGGACCTTGAGAGTAGGTACAGTGTAGATGGACAGAAGGAATAAGAGGCTATTCCAAACAGAAGTGAGTCTCTCCCCCACCCTTCCATCCTTCACTATATAGTACAACATCGAATTTAAAAGTAGGGAAAATGGTAGAATTTTTGTCTTGCTGCTCACCGTCAGGTCATGATCTCATGATTCATGAGTTAGAGCCCCGCATCGGGCTCTCTGCTGTCAGCGCGGAGCCCACTTGGGATCCTCTGTCCCCCCCCAACCCCACCCCGCACCTCCCCCCCACACCTGCTCTCTCTCTATCTCTCTCCCCCCTCCTCTCTCTCAAAAATAAAAGCCCTTGGGGCGCCTGGGTGGCTCAGTCGGTTAAGCGTCCTACTTCAGCTCAGGTCACGATCTCACGGTCCGTGAGTTCGAGCCCCACGTCGGGCTCTGGGCTGATGATGGCCCAGAGCCTGGAGCCTGCTTCCGATTCTGTGTCTCCCTCTCTCTCTGACCCTCCCCCGTTCATGCTCTGCCTCTCTCTGTCTCAAAAATAAATAAGCGTTAAAAAAAATTTTTTTTTAAATAAAAAATAAAAAAAATAAATAAAAGCCCTTAAAAAAAATAAATCTAGTGTTGGCTCTCTCCATTTGCATGAACTCTTTGACTTTTAGGACTGTTTAATTTTGTAAACATTTGATGATATGCAGATAAAATGCAAATCCACTGCAAAGTGAAATTTCAAGTCTTGAAAAAGAGTCGAGGTTCCCTGAAGTCCATGAAGGTGATTTTGAAAAAGTTACTAAAAACACTTTCAAACCCATTGATAAAGGCTGTGTGTGTGTGTGTGTGTGTGTGTGTGTGTGTGTGAGAGAGATCTTTACAAAATGCTATGTTCCAGTGTTCTTAGCATCTGATGTTCTCATCTCTTGCTTATTGCGACCTTATGGTGTACCTACTGCCCCCATTCCCATGACAGGCAAAGAAACAAAAGTGCAGAATCCAAAGCAAGCCGTCTGGTCCTAGAGTGTGCACGTTCTTCCTCACTGCGCCAGACTGCCTCCACCGAGATCAGTTGATCATTAGCCACTGATAGGAAATCAGAAAGAAAAGAATGGTCACCTGAATGGAGAGAGATTTCTAAAGGATAAAGGAAGCTCTTGTGAAAAATTGATAAAAGCTGTCACCTGAGCAATGTGGTTAGTAGTTAGGAGTGTGTTTCTCTGGGTCAGACTGCTGGAGCTTTGCTGTTCCTTTAGCCACCTGACAGATTACCCAACACCTGTGTCTCAGCCTCCTTATCTATAAAGTACGGATAATAAATAGATTCTACCCATTGCACTGTGGGTGTGGATTTTATGATTAAAATACCCTAAATGAATCTGACGAATAGAAGGTACTTGGCAGACGTTCATTGTTCTTGTAACTGTTTGGGAAAATGGTCCTCTTTATGATCATGTTCTACAAATCAAAAAAGAAGAATGTCTTATGCTGGTCTCCAGTGTTGTTTGGATGGTTGATTCTAAAAGACCTCCATACATACTTGTTTACTTTTATCCCTTTAAGAGCTAGCACATGGTTGCAACAATGTTACACAAATGTCCTTAAAAAAAAAAAAAGATGAAATGGAGTTATTTTCATTTTGGTTTT